GTCGAAACTGCAGTCCACTTCAGCCGGGATGAGAACAACTTTTGGGAAAGCAAGGCTATGTGAAATGCAAGGGTAACGTTAGCTCAACTCATATCATTGTGGGAAAATTCTACTACCAGTCCTTCATCACCTTACACGAAATAGGGTGAATACATCTCATTACACAAAATTCTACTACCAGTCCTTCATCACCTTAGACGAAATAGAGTGAATACATCTCATTACACTGATTTACGGGTAGTCTTGAAACCCTACTCTAATACGAATGTTATATTTACCATAGCAGTCGACGTTTACTTATTTTTCGTTCATAATTAGGTTTTCGATAATCCCATTAGAAAATATGATGTGGGAAGATCTCTGGCATTCCTTGCATTTTGCTTATGCCCTTTGACCCAACGGGACTTGTCGAGATTGTATGTCGCACTATCATAGTTTGAGTCCCACTGGGATTAATGATGAGACATAGGCGAGGTCGAAACTACAATGCACTAATGCCTGGATAAGAACGCTTTGTGGGAAGCAAGGCTATTTTAAATTAAATACAAAGTTACGGTCTATTCATATCATTTTGGGAAAATTCATCTACCAGTCCTCTTATCACTTTAAACGAAATATGGTGAATGCACTTCATATATATGGTGTATTGATAGTCTCGAAAAGCTCTGTCTTAAGCCACAACCTGATGAAGTGTGTGATGAACCCGATTTTTTTGGGCAAAGTTTAATTTAATGGTCTCCTACCATTCGTATTGTCTTGACTACTCCCTTTTCTTACACTGTTAATCTCACAGCCTACATCCAAGACTAAAGAAATCCCATGTTTTGATCTAGTTTATTAAAGATTTTGATATAAAAGCTGAGGCTGTTGGATTCTTGCCAGGCCCACTTCATAAATCCCTCTTGATCTAGACTGAAACCTCCACACGCTCTATCTTCTATTCCATTCTTTTTTTGTCGATTTTATTCCATTTTCGTATCCATCAAACCTAATTACGATAACATACAACCACCCCACATTCTTCTGCCTCATACACAGTATCGTTTTGGCCTTGATTCTCTAATGTGATGCCAATTTTAAAGATCGGCAGATTAAGACAAGCCACCACAGTTGTCGTTCTCCTCCCACTCTCGGGATCTTTTGTTTGCTCCCTATGCATATTCTTAATTTTTCTTTGGAAAAATTAGTTATCAGCCAATCAGATAACCTCAGACACCTCTTCTGGTTTTTTCGATAACCTTGGTGAAACGAATTAAGGGAACTTGTTGCTTTTCACTTTCCAAAGATTTATTACCTTCAGGCAGGAGTTAAACACACTTAACACGCTAATCATTCCCAATATTGGGGAAGATCATGCAGCCAACTGGCGCCTGAACAAAACAGTTCCAACAATTTGACAGTATCTACACTTTTCCGATTCCTTCTAACTTGGCAAGTGTTACAATTGGTGGGACTTCCTTCGCATTAAGCAAGATTGATTTGTTTTACAATTAGATGAAGTCATGATTCCGTAGGCCGTATATACGATAAACTTTTGCTTATTTTGGATTTTGTTATTAGCAAAGAATTTTATATATGGTTACTGCCCAACTTTTATGGGCATGTTTAAGCTTGCATTGAACGCAATACAAGGGAAAGGTGAATTGTGAGCCAGTTTGTTCACTAATCGCATGTAGAACTTGCTTACATTTCACAGTCCTCACTACTATAGTTATAGAAGAAACGTTTCTGACACCGCTTTCGCTACTTTCCGGCATACCAATTCTTTATACACATTTTGGTTGTTTCCAGGTAAGCCATTGCTTGGGTCAAAAACGAGACAGAATCAAAGTGGAAATGATTGTGGCCACTCAAAATACTACGTCAGCTGGGTCTTATTATTTAATAATTGAATTTCTTGAGATTATTTCCCTTTGTATGAATATTTATTTATTTATCTAATTTTATTCGATTTAATTCTATTTGTGAATTCTTTCTTTTGTTAAGACTAGGGTATGACGAAACTGTTTATTATGTAATTCTCTGTGGTTGAGACTTAATCCAAAGCTGTGTTAAGAATGCTGTATTTTATCAATTTCTGCAAATTGGAAGGAAGAGGCGTGATGTCTCAAGACCGCAACTGTCAAGTTCCTTCAGGACTTTATGAGACCTCACCACGA